GTAATAAATAAAGGTGAAATAAAATATAAATTTAATTTTATATATACTTGAAGTTGTTGCATAAAAAATTTGCTAATAATAGGCTTTATGGCTAATAGTTTAATAGATATTCTACATGTTTTACACGTTTTACACTTTTCAACAAATTTATCAACCAAACATCTTTTAACTCCATGATATTTATCTGATACTTGTTTGTAAGTAGCTTTAGCGCCACCATGTCTAATAGTCAGATGTTCCTCTGCAATAATCTCTCTTTTAAAGCTATGGGTTTCCAAATATTTGATGATTTTTCTTTATGCATTAATGTTGCAATTCCACCAATCCTTTGACATGAATAATTGTTTTTAGCTTGATAATGTACATTAGAACTTGCAATAGAAGTATCTTGAGGGTTATTTAAAATTTGCAGATATTCATTAGCCGTATTCTCTGTAATTAATGTCTTAGATCTTTTTTTTTCACTTATAGATAGTAAATATTCGTCTATAATCTTATTAAATGTTTGAAGTGCTAGAAAAGTATATTCATTAAAAGAAGCCATTAAGAAAAAAAAAGTTTAAAACTTCCATTTATAATTCTAACATAATAATTTTTTAAACTCTGATGACATCTTTATGATATAATTCAAATAATTTTATTTGTTATTATAATGATAAATAATACTTATATAATAATTAATATGATATAGTTTTAAATTGATAGTTCTTATAATTAAAAAGCTTACAAAAGCTTCTTATAGAATAATTTACTATAATTACTATAATTCTATATCGAACTTAATAAATTTTTAAAAAGATTCATACGTATTGGTTATTGTTAATTAATTATTACCTATTACTACATCGCTATTATATTGATTAATTATTACTGTTACTTATTAAAAATAAGAGTATGATCTACAATTTGCATCTGGGCAAAACCAATAGCCCAAAATTAATTTGCCATCTGGGCCGTCCCAATTGTTAACTGGGCCGATTTGCTTCTGGGGCACAACATATATATCTATGTAGAATTATGTAAAGTTTCAAAAAAATTTCAACCTAAATATTAAAGCTAGAAATAAAATTTAAAGCTTAAAAAATAGGGGTTTGGGAGTGTTTTCTGGCCTGCTGAACATTTTTACGGGACACTTGAAGAACAGTTAACAAGTGATCGACGATCACATAATAAACATATAATGACGTCATTTGTTTATCAGAATTAAAACAAACTGGCCTAAATATACCCATAAACTAACCCTAACCTAACCCTAGCTTAGGCCGAACATATGTCATGTGATGTTGTGATGATCACTGGGTTAACTCTACCCCATTTTTACTTAGTATATCGAACACTGATTACCTTAGTCATTTTTGGGAAATAGCCAAAGTAAATTAATTTATTTTTATATAGATATAAATAGAATTTACATAACTTTTATATTTAGATAAATAATACATAAATTTTATATAAATATTATATTAAGTCATACATAAAAATTCCAACTATGCAAGTCTACATTGGGTTTATAAATCTAAATCAAAATTTTATATAACATTTATATAATTTATAAATCAAAATTTTATATAACATTTATATAATTCTAAATAAAATTTTTATATAACATTTATATAACTTGATATAGCTATGTATATTTTATAAAAAAATGACCTTGTGATGTAGTTGTTGAGAAACCTTCGTTTGTAGGTTTTAAAAAGAAAACTTGTAAATAATAAAGTAATAATAATTTTTTATTTAAACTTTAAGCGAAGGTTTCTCAACAACCACCTGTACAAATTTGATAAAATTTCTTTATTTTAATTCTACAGATCTACAGAATTAAAATTAAAAAATTTAATCAAGTTGTACAGGTGTTATTGAGAAATATTTATTAAAATTCAAAATAAAATTTGGCCGCAGCATTTTTCTAAAAAGTACTAAAATTTTGAACGAAGCTTACTCGACACTTACCTAACTAAATTCAATTAATTTTTTATTTTAATTCTCTAGATTCATAGAATTAAAATAAAAAAATTTCGATCAAATTTGATTAGATAAGTATCGAGTAATTTCGTTCAAAGTCTCAGAACCTATTAAAAAATGCTGCGGCCAAATTTTGGTTTGAACTTTAAACGAAGATTTTTCAATAATTACCAATTAAATTCGACAAAATTTTTTATTTTAATTCTTTAGATTTATAGAATTAAAATAAAAAAAATTTCCATCAAATTATACTTGTAGTTGTTGAGAAACCTTCATTTAAAGGTTTAAAAAAGATAATTTTTCTCGATTTTAGCTTATTTTTTTTCTATAGTTTTTCAATGACCGTTAAATCAAATTCAATAAACCTTTTTTTTTTTTTTTTTTTTTTGGTTCTACAAAAATATAGAATTAAAATAAAAAATTTCACTAAATTTAAGTTTTAAAAATTTTATAATAGCCAATCGCAATTAAGGATTAGAAGGTTCTAGATTGCAGATCAGTAAAAATTTGCTGGCTAGTTGTACATGACTTTACTTATTTGTGCCGGTTACATAAACCAAAAAAGGAAAACCATAGGAATCGGAGTAAATTTGAAGTTTATTAAATATTAGGGTTAGGATTAGTGTTATGGTTAGTGAGTGCTATAGGTAAAATTACCTCCCCGACATTTTTTGTTAATAAAAAAAGTAGATTTAAACTACTTTCTTGTATTTTCTTCATTTTTCTCTTTTTATCGTTCGTTTTGCTTCGTCTCGTCAGGTTGATCCGGTTTCTACGTCGGGCTGATCCAGAAACCCGAAATTTCGTTTTTGGGGGTTTGTATTACCGGCACAAATAAGTAGAGCCGTTGTACATGCTCAAACACGTTTCGGGCGAAACCCGATTTTGCAGATCATTTGCAGATTAAATTGGGAGAAACTAGTTTGGAGGGTTTAGGACTTATTGGGCGAAACTAAAATTCCTCTGGGCGAAACGGTTCGGATTTGGAAAATAGTTTCGCTGAAAAAGATTGAAGAGAGTTAAAAAATCCACCTTCGGCCCCAACGTAAAATAGTAATGCAATACCCTTTTCGAGTAGTTGATTGACAATTTACATAAAATGTTTATAATTTTTTACTCTATAGGTTTAAATGGTTGTACAATTTATGTAGTGTATTAAAATAAATTCAATCCTGCTAGGGCGTAGGATTTTATCATTTCCTAATCATTGTACTGTACGTACGTACCTGTCATTCTTACGCTTCAAAGGAAGTGCATTATTCATCACGATGAGTACATGTAAGCTACTACATACTAACAATTATTGTACCGCACTGACTAAAAGACTCCCTTTTAATAATGCGGTGCTCCTATGAATTCCATTAATCGTAAGCAGCTCTTTTCAAAATGAAAAGTGTGTTTTCATGTGGATTATTCTTATCATAGAAAGATTACGCTGCACAACATAGTAAAGCTTTTAGTTAGTTATTGTTTTCAATCCGGGTATTTTAATCGATGCGATACGGTAATTTTTAATTAGTTAGATATTGTTTTCAATCCGGGTATTTTAATCAATGCGATACGATAATTTTTAAAAATTATTTATATAATTTATATTACGTTAAAACCTTATTACAACTTCAAATGTTAGTTATAGAATATTCGAAAAAATTAGAGACAAGTTTAAATTGTAATGTAAGGCATTTTGATTATTCACAATTCAACGACCTCAAGGTTATCAGGAGTGGAGCGTACGCTACAGTTTATTCGATAATCTTCGAAAAGCAAATTTATGCAATAAAAAGTCTAAAAAATAATCTGCATTTTGATGATAAACTATTCAAAATATTTAAACGTGAGGTAACTATGTATTATTCATATTTATCATTTGATTTCTTAATTACTTCATAATTTATTTATTTAACAAAATACATGTAGCTTGAACTTCTTTATACGGTCAATCATCCCAACATCATAAAATTTCATGGCATTTCAAGAGGTATAAAATTTTGAATATTGTATCTACTATATATTTGAACTAGAATTTTGCTAAATGTCACCGCATATAGCTTTTTGCTAAAATTTAGGGTTAGGATGCCCCTATAAGTTAAGGTTACTCGTATAATGCGAAATAACGCGCAGGGGTTTAATTTCGGATTTTGGCCTAAATCAAGACTAATTCGGGTAATTATTCAAATAACGCCCCTGCGCGTTATTTCGCGCTTATACGGTAGGGTTAGGTATATTGGTTTAAATTTTAGTTAGGGTAAGGTTTTCGGAGGTTCTGAACATTTTTACTTAGAATCCTAACCTTAATTCTGTAATTACTTAGTATATTTTTGAAATATAGCGTTGCGGTGTATTAGCAATTCCCTTTGAATTATATCATTTTAAATTATAATCTTCGTATTAGATGAAACAACGGGTAATTTTATCATTTTAAATTATAATCTTCGTATTAGATGAAACAACGGGTAATTTTATGTTAATCCTACAATTTGCTAATGGCGGTAACCTACGAGAACATTTAAAAACGAAACAAAAGGAAGGCATTTATAAAATATCGTGGGATGAACTCATTCAGATTGCAATAGAGATTACACATGGATTAAAACACTTGCATGACAAAAATATAATTCATAGAGATCTAGTAAGTTTATTACTTTAAATGTATAATTTGGTATTCTAATTTCTGCATAAATTTAATCATTTTGAATTTTTTATACAAAATTTCTAGCATTCTTTGAATATTTTGATATATGATGGCAGGGCCATGATTACAGATCTTGGTTTAGCAAAACAATTATATAGCTCTACTTCTACTTCAAGCTCTAGTGTGAAAGGCGTGGCAGCATATATTGAGCCACAATACTATATCCAAGGTGGTAAAGAAGTTAAACGTGATAAAAAATCAGATATTTATAGCCTGGGCGTATTGCTTTGGGAGCTCACGAGTGGAATCACTCAATTTTATGGATTTAATGATGTTGCTATAAGTTTTAAAATTGCGGCTAATGATAGAGAGAAAATTATTGCTAATACACCTTCAGATTACGCTAATCTCTTCGAAAAATGTTGGTCATCTGAACCAGATCAACGTCCAGCATTGAACGGCATTTTGAGAGGCTATCAAAAGAAAAAACTGTTGAATTCATTACAAATACCATTGGGGACAAAATTACACAATTAACGTCTAAAACCTCAATATACTCAGCAAACTCAGTTCCTTCTAATGGCAGTGGCTCATAAAGTGTGCCTCTCGAGAACATTCCTATACTATCTAAAAATATAAATGCTTCACACACAAGAAGCTTGGTTCTTTCTAACGATAATGGCCAACAAAGCATAACTTTCGAAGAATTACTTGAAAAGACCATTGCTCATGGATATATTGATTATCCTGAATATAATCAACTTACAGACCATAAAGAGATTGGTTTCGGAGATCTTGGTAAGGCTTTTAAATGCGAGTGGAAAGACGATGAATTAACAGTTGCTCTTAAATGTTTTAGAGTTGACACAGGTTTGGATGAAAAGACCATCAAAGATTTTATCAATGAGGTATATTAAGACTAGGGATGGGTTCGGTCGACTACGGTCGACTATCGGTCGACTACGATCGGTTATCGACTCTTAGCCGGTTAGCCGAT